TCCGCTGAGCTGGGCTCGCTGAGGTAAAGGGGGGCGGCCGAGCTCGGTTCCGACCAGGCCGCCTCCCTTTACCTCAGCGCCCCACGCGTGTCCGCGGCGCTGCCCCCGGGGGCTCCCTGGGGCCCTGGCCCCCGCGTTGTGTCCCCGCGCCGCGCTCCCCACGCGGCCCGGGTGTCCCGGTGGGATGTGGGTGCGTTGGGAACGGTTGGAATTTTGGGGGGGGAGGGTCCCCCTTGGGACATTGGCAAAACCGCAAATGCTCTTCATACTTTAAATATAAAAAGTAGAGATTTTAATATCAAAGAGCCTCAGTAGAAGAAAGAAAGAGGCATAAGAACAAAATGCCCTAAGGAAAGTCAGGAAAATTTGAGTATTTTAGCCCTGGACAATACATAAAGTGTTACTGACCAGGTCTAGAGATACTCTGCAGCTGTGTAACTACATGTTGCATGTAAGAGGAAAAAAAGAGGAATAAAATTGGCTTGTGAGCTCACTTAAGTCTTAAATTTGTTTTTCCACTGTGAGGTAAGAGTAAAGCACAAGAGTTTGGGGTAAGGGAAACAGTAACTACAGAAAGGAGAAGGATGGTGTTTTTGGAAGTGTTATTAATAGTCCAGAATTGGATTGGTGTGCTTGAGACATGAATGTATTTAAAAACAAACAAAAGCCAGTTAGTTTCCTGAATATACCCTATTTTGTGTGTCTCTTTGGGTAATCAGGACTGTTTGCTATTTGAATAACTGCAACTTCCACAGGCCCCTGCAGTTTTATTTTTTATTTTTTAAGTTTCCCTTGAAATTGCAAGTGTATAATTTGTTCTTGCTGACTGGAACAGCCTCCCACCTGTGATAATTTAGCTGCGGGCAGATCCTCTGATCCTCAAAGAAGACTAAAGCTGCTGCTTCTGTGGTTTTTGTCAGCACAGGCAGGCGCTGTAAATAAACACATTTTAAAATACCCTTGTGTTTCCGCAGTGGAACTTTTGAGGAGATGTGGAAGATGAATTCTGTGTTCTATTCTCTGTATGCTTTTATCTTTAAGAGTTACAGCTATTTTGCTGTGTGAGGTGCATAGTGTTGCATAGTGGAGTGTGTAGTTAAGGAAGGTGCTTGTTTTTCTGTCCCCTGCAAAAGGATGCCTGAATCTGCTACTAGAGATGGTCGGTGAAATTAGCAGTGCTTGAAATCATAGAAGAACTATGTTATTGAAATTATTCCAAATTGGGGATTAACTCATTAGGATTTAATAGGACCTAAGAAATTCCACTTGCTTTGGTGGAATTTTTCTCTTTAGTTGCTGCCTGTGCTGTTATGTCCTTTAGTGGTGGTGGTGCTTGAAACTTGAAATAAGAGCTGCATAGAAACATATTTAATAAAGAAAGTAAGTTTGTACTTTTGTGTATGTCTAGATCCCTTTTTTTTTCTTTTTTTTTAAATGTCTGTGGATTTGGTATTCTGATGACTTTTTGTTCTATCTGCAATTTGAGATTTTTTTGGTTCTTCCTAAGTGCCTTTCAGTCTCTCAACTTTTCCGTGACACTGTTAGATACAAAGTCTACATGTAGCCAGAATTCTGACAGGCAAACCACACTTCTATTATTGCTTGGACTTGCAATAAAAATGATTTGTAAGCACCGGAGCTGGAATAATCCTTTATATAAAAGGCTTCAGTGAAACAGCTGACGTGCTGGTAGTATGTGAAGGGGGCACTGCACATCTAAACTGTATTATGGTTTTCCCTGCATGGATGCTAGTGTCAACTGCTAGATAACAGATCTGCTGTATTTTAGTTTTAACTGTTTGACTAGGGGTGAGGTGTGGGAGGGTGGCAGTGTTTTTTTTTGTTTGCTGTCCTCTAAGTCCTCAAAGAAACTGTATCCTTCAAATTACTTTAATAGCTTCAAGTGCTCAAAGTGTGTCCTATGCCTCACCTTCCTTTATTTCTCTTTAGTAACAGAGCTTGCAGGCGACTGTTGAAGATGGGAGGCGCAGTGAGTGCGGGAGAAGATAACGATGAGTTAATTGATAACCTGAAGGAAGCTCAATACATCCGCACGGAGCTGGTGGAACAGGCCTTCCGAGCCATCGATCGAGCCGACTACTACCTGGAAGAGTTCAAAGACAATGCCTACAAAGACTTGGCCTGGAAACACGGGAACATTCATCTCTCGGCACCGTGCATCTACTCGGAGGTGATGGAAGCTCTGGATCTGCAGCCGGGGTTGTCGTTTTTGAATCTCGGCAGTGGCACTGGTTATCTCAGTTCCATGGTTGGACTCATCTTGGGTAAATAGCTTTTCAATCATGTCAACTGTTTATACTGAGTTAAAGCGAGAAAGACCCTTGAACCTGGAACAGAAGCTTTCCTCATGTAATAAAACTAAAAAGTAGCTGGAAAACTAAAAAATGCCTAATTACTCAGGGTTCTTGCAGCCTTTGTTTGGCAGCTGGCTGGGGCCCACATTTATGTGTCAAGTTAGAGTAGGCAGCGATGCTGCTGCACGTGCAGCTGCAGTGGATTCCTGCAGGACTGGGCACAAACTTGGCTTTATTTCTCCTTTGCCAGGATCCCAGCTCAGGAGTGCACGAGTGCCACATTATTTAATGTAGGATTGAGCGTATTCTGTTGTGGTTATAGATCTTCTGCACCTCGTTTGCTTTTACACCGTTCTGTCTAGATAGAAATGTGTTTGAGATCTTATTCTGATTGTTATTGACATTCAGAAGCTGTGTAAGAGCAGTTAGGAGATCAGAACTGCCTTTGTGACCACTTGTACAATAGACACAAAGCAAATTGTATAAATATACTGGTAATTCTGGTGCTTCGCTTACAGAAGAATTGACTTCTATCTTTTAATAAGTAAGTGGAGTACACTGCTTCTCATTCAGATCTATTTCTGAGTGCAAGAAACTTGTTGCATATCTGTGTTTAATCATATGATATTTTTTTCCTGGTTTAAAAATCCTTTGGTCTAGATGATGACCAGAGTTTCAAACTGTTCACCCAAAAGAATTTTAGTTCTCGTTCCCAGGGCAGATAATGAATGACTGTAGGGTACCTATTACCCTCTTTGTGTGGGGTTCAGGAATTTTAGTTGCTGAAATGTTGTTGCCAGGATAGAGTTTGCTCTCACCTCCAGTGGCTTTTCATGAAATAGCGTTTGTGAATTTTCACTGAGTTTGCTGAGACTGCTTAGAAAGTCACTGTGTTCCTTCAGGGCTCTTGAATTCTTTTCCTGGAAAAGATACCAAGTCAATTTTGAATAAAAAAAAGTGGTTGGTGACTGATTCTGATTTCTTTTCTGAAAATATTTTTTAGCCTTTTTTTTTTATCCAGAAAATACATATATTTAATTTTTTTGGAGGAGTGGAATTTATTTGAAAAAGCAGGCTGTACTTCATGTGCATACTTTATCCAAGTTTTTTTTGTGTGCACAGTTTCACAGTAATAGCATTTCTTCAGTAAGAATATTCCTTATTGTGGAGGAATTTCCTGCATAAGTAAGAGAAAATGATTCAAAATAGTGCTGTACAAAAAGCCTTGTTTAATTCTAGATATGGCAGGTATAAACTTGCACTTCATGTTGTATTACTAAAATATCTGGCCCTAGGCAAGTCCTGATTGTCTGACACTCAAGGAACAGTTAATCTCTTATAAGAAGTAAGCAAAACTGTCTAGTCCCACTGGATTTTATCTGGTTGCCTTCTAGTCGTTATCGTGGTGTTCTTCTACATTTACAGGTCCTTTTGGTGTTAACCATGGCGTGGAGCTTCATTCTGATGTGATCGAATATGCGAAGCAGAAACTGGACTTCTTCATCAAAACAAGCGATAGCTTTGACAAGTAAGACTGCAGAGCACCCGTTAGCTTTCATTTTGTGAGTGTGGTTTTAGCTGTGGCAGTTCCTGCTCCCACATGGCAGCTCTAGATTCCAGGGTAATCTGAGGATTCCGGCTCCTTAGACTTGCTGAGCTGAAGTGTGTGACCTTCTAAGCCGATGTGAATTGCGGAGGAGGGTGTTTCAGAAAATTCTGTAGTGTTTTAGTAGCAGTTCAAGTGTTACATAGCTTAAATAAGACTTTCAGCGTCTTTTAACATCTAGTGGCAGGTATCACCTTGAAGTCTGCAAAGAGTAATAGCTCTATTTTTGGTCCGAGAGCATTGGCCCAAGAATATGAACAATTTTCTATCATGGCCCAATATGTTCTGTTTCAGACTTTTTCCTTACTTCAGACAAGTAGTGTCAGAGCAAAAAGTCAGCTGAACTAGAATATTTCCTAGATAAATGTCGGGGGGTAAAATGAGTGAGGCTACAGTTCTAGTGCATGAGGAATGGATTTTCATAGCATTAGTAGGGGGTTTGTATAGATGGCAAGTTTCTAGACACAAATGTTCAGTTGAAATTCTATTTAAAGTGGTTATTAATCTTGTCTTATTTATATGCATCATTTAAACTGATGCATTTCTGTAAAAGCAGTAATTCTGCGATAATTACCTAGGTAAATTGGCCAATAGCTTATTTTTTTCATAAAATACTTTGAAATAACTTCAGCAAGAAGGAAATATGTTAAAAACAAACTAGAATAGACCAATCTGAGTTTCAAGAATCAGTAAGACTGAAAAACTGGTATTGCTGACAGAAATAGCTGCTGGGTAATGTTGTTAGAACATGGTGCGGAAGAACTGTTAGCTGAGTTCTGCGAATGTTTAGCATGCTTTTCAAAAACAAAAAGCTTCAGGAAGTTTTAATGAATAAATATGTGCTATGTTGAATTGTCTCTTCAGATAACAATAAAGGAATGGATATGTTGTACAGTTTTATCAACAACATCCTTGAAATGTAAGGCTCGATATTTTTGCAGATTAAAATAATTTTGCTTCTAAACTGAATCAGAAATGTTACAGGCAGAGATTCTGTGTATGTAGGGTGAAATCATGGTTCTTTTGAAGCTAATGGCAAAACTCCCATGGGCTTCAGCAAAGCCAGCACAATTCTGAAGCATCAGCCTCTAGTTCCCCAGAACATCTGAAAGCCATTTAAAAGCTTATGAAAATGCCAAAAAAAAAAAAAAAAAACACTGCTGCAATTCTCAGAAGGCTTTTACAGTTGGAATTGCAGGTTTGGTATTTTTATGTGGCTATTATATAACTGAGCCTGCATCAGATAGCTAAAAATGGCTGGTCCTGAGCAGCTGTATGCAACTCAGGTACAAAGTTATGCATATGTACTCTGGAAATTCTCATCTGTGATTTCTCATTTCAGTATTCTTGTGGTTTTGAGAGTTACAGCTGTGGTTTCTTCTGATGATCCGTAGAATACTTAGTCTTGGGAGGAGAAATCTTGTGAAATATTTTGAAGTATTTTTTACTATTTCTTCCAGAATCATTAAGATAGTTCTTTTGATAAATGGTGATTATTTGTGTATGATATGTCTTAATGTCTTCATTTTTTCAGATTTGAATTTTGTGAGCCATCTTTTGTTACCGGCAATTGTTTGGAGATTTCTCCGGACTGTACTCAGTATGACCGTGTTTACTGTGGTGCAGGGGTCCAGAAGGAACACGAAGACTACATGAAGAATCTGCTGAAAGTTGGGGGAATTCTTGTCATGCCTCTGGAGGAGAAGGTGAGGTGCCTTTCTACCCATCGGGCCCATATTTTTAAATGTCAATAGATTGCTTTTTAATAAAAAGTGGAACTGCCCTGCGTGAGGACCCAAGCTTCTCATTCAGGGTGTCTTTTTGGTGAAGAGGGGTATTGTTTTAATGGAGTGAATGCCTAGGCATGATAGATACACAGTGTTTTTGCTTTTAGTTGGGTAATTCAGATTAGTGGGCTATAGATACCTTCCAAGTAAAATGCTGTGAAATTAATTGGTGTAAGAAGTTTGAGTTGTGCAGAAATCCAGTGATCTTTATTACCTACAGATTTTTTTCAAGAGCAAATGTTTATCAGTAACTGATGTATTCTTGCAGTGGTCAGACGTAGCTGTTCTGGTTCAGAAGTGGTGAAGAACTGGGAGAACAGTGTGACCCAAACTGCCTTTGCTCATACTCTGTTGTAATGTATGAAGTTACATAGGGCTGATCCCTTCAGGAGTTCTGAATTTTCTTAAGAGAACAATGATTCTCTTTATTTTACCTAGCTCTTTACTGATTGTAAAATCTAGTACTTTAACCATTTCTCTGCGTGGAAGGGAGGCGTTGTTTGTTAATTTTCTGTTTAAAAAAAACTTGACATACTTCACACAATGGACAATGTTCTGCCTGTTTTGTTTAGTTGACTAAGATAACACGCACTGGTCCCTCTGCCTGGGAAACCAAGAAGATTCTTGCTGTTTCTTTTGCTCCTTTGATTCAGCCTAACCATGCAGATTCGGGAAAATCAAGGCTTGTTCACTTGCGTGAGTACAAACATCCTTAAATACAAGGGTTGCTTCTTCTGTTGTGTGGTTGCTAGCTGTACAGTGCTTTCTCAGGCATAGCATCCCTAGAAATGTTTTCTTTTTATCAAAATTACTCAGCTGCTCCCATCTTTAAACAGTTGCCCTATTAGTCTTGTGTTTGATCTGTTTTTGAGCGTGTCTGGTGCAAAAATCAGAATCACGTAAGAGTGATTTGTGAAATTTTACCTAAACTTTGTGGGATACTTGGTCACATTTTTTTGTATATGCAGGCGTCTGTTTCTGCTCTGAATCTCATTCTGTTGTGGTTCTTGGGCACTGTGCCATGATGAGAACATCCTGCTGGTTGGAAATGCACAGACTTTACCTGGGGACAGACATTGCACCTACCCAGCTGACTAGAAGTTTCTTGAACCTTTAGGACATAAGTCACTTTTAGGACATAAGTTGTGCAATTTTTGGTTAGCTGTTTCAAGTGCAGGTTGTACCTAGTGTCCTCAATCTTTAGATTAAGATTTCAATGTAGAGGGGCCTCTTAAGAACACATGAAGACAGAGATGCTTCCATAAAGAGATTAGCTGGGCTTTATTCCTATTCTGGAAAGGTGTCTGTGCAGACAAAAAGCAGCTCAGCAGTCCATTAAGTGCACATCAAGCATATTTTTTAATTGTGTGAGGCCTGCAGATATTGCCTGTTGCTTCTCACACTTTCTTCAGATCAGAAGAAATTTGTCCTCAGTAGAAGAAACTTTTTTGTTTCTGTTTTAATTCCTGTTGGTGTATGGATGCATGTGCATCCATATGGCTTTGCTGCATGAGATGTGTGTTATGTTATGCATTTGTGTGCTGGCAGAGTGCAGAAGATAGAAGTCTTCCAAGCCCTTTATGTGGGAGGAGTTTTTTTTAATACAATAACTTATTGTTTACTTCTAATTACTTTTACCAAATGGTTGCAGCCAGTCTTCACCCACTAAGTGGCAGTGATTTTTTGAAGAGCATAAGTGTTACTCATGTTTTATAAATGGAGAACTTGGCAAAGCTAGATTATTTTCCTGATAGGAAAGTCTTTGTATGGATGAGTTGAATAGACTTCAGGTCCACTTATCTGCAGTGGGAAAATATCCTCCCTCTGTGCTACTAAACAGTCAGTTTCAGTGACTTACAGTCTTTAAGACACACGTGTATCTTAAAATAATTATGGGGACTTGACATCAAAATATGAAACTCTTCTTTCATCCCATTCTTTTTCTTGGGTTAGTGGGAGAAATGTATAATTAAATTTTCTTTGGGAAGTTACAGTGCAGTTTATCGAAGCTGACAGGAATTGAATAGAGCTGTTTTTGTAATCACAGCGGGGAATTCGAGTGGCCTGATTTAACTGGAGGGAGTACAACTTCTGTGAGTGCTCCTGGGATGTGCTTTTTCCTCAATATCTGTTCTTGGTTTTCATTCTGTTGCAGCCCCAGTGGCTGTTCGCAGCCTCCAGGATCTGGCCCGCATAGCCATCAGAGGAACCATTAAAAAAATAATCCATCAAGAAACGATGAGCAAAAATGGAAATGGGTTGAAGAACCCCCCAAGATTTAAACGAAGACGTGTGCGTCGCCGTCGCATGGAAACTATTGTTTTCTTGGACAAAGAGGTCTTCGCGAGTCGGATCTCCAACCCGTCGGATGATAACAACAACTGTGAAGAGTTTGAGGATGAGAGACGAGAAGAGGAAGAAACTAAAGCCCCCGAACTAAAGCCAGATCCCCCTGTAAACTTTCTGAGAGAAAAGGTCTTAAGTCTGCCTTTGCCTGATCCCTTGAAATATTACCTGCTTTATTACAGAGAAAAGTAATTTCCTTCTCCTAGGAAGTAGAAACTAAAGTACTACTTAGGGCTTGACAAATGCATACCACTTGCTTGCCTGCTAATATGACCACACGAGGCAGTAGGCTGGCTGGGGAATGTGGCTGCTGTATACTTAAACATGATAGCTTTTTTAAGTTTCTTCTTTCTTCTCAGTTGTGTGCTATAGTTTTATGCTACAGCAGGGTTTCCTTAGGAAGCAAGTTGGTGAAGTGCTCGGCTGCTTACAGAAAGGAGGATTGAATTCTCTGAAACTAACTGCACAGAGATGTTTGGAAATCTCATGGCTGCTCTACCAAATGGCGGTTTCAAAAGATTCTTAAGCAGCTTCCCAAAGACCTTTGTCCATGCTCCCTCCCACTGAACCTGCCATGGGTTTATATTGGTGTGTGTTTAATGGAGGATGAGGATTTATTAGTTAAAAACTGACCCAGCAAATCTTGTTTCTTCCAGAAATCTGAAAAAGCACAACTTTTCAGACATGAAAGAGAAGTTTTTGGCGTTAAACCTTGAGGCATCCAGGTTTTGAATGCAGAAGGAAAGCATCAGCTCCCCTTTGGTTGGTCTCAGTTTTGCTTATAAAATATATATTTTTAGTAAAAGGTAGAAATGTCTTACAAAGCATTGGTTTTTCTTCATGGGAAATGTCTATTTTAGTGAGATACAGTCCAAGATGTGGAGATTTTTTTTTTTTTAATGAACCTGGGCAATAAGGCAAGGGCTGCAAAGATGCTTAGGTGACTCGCAGAATGCCAGGGTAGCTGGATTTGTGACTCTTGGCTCTGGAAATGTTTACAGAATCAATCTGAATGGAGAGGAGGGCAGACAAGCAGGTGTGTAGCAGCAGGTGTGTGAAAACTGACTGTGAGAGCAAAACCTGCAGAATTTTCCTGCTGCATGTGAGTGTTATGTGTGTTGGGATGAACCAAGTGGAGTGCAGAGAGCTGGCTTGGAATCAGCCAGACTTAGTTTTGTACAGGGTATAGAGACTGCTAGTGCTCTGAAAAGCCAAATATAGTTGTGCTACTGAGGTAGCTCTTGGGTGTTGTTCTCTGGGCCCCTGCTGAAAAAAACAAAAAAAACACAGCAACTGGAGTAAAACTTGGCTAAAGAGCCTACGCACAGGAGCTGCAGTGAGGCCTTGGTAGTTCCTCTTATGCCTGCAGCTGTGAAGTGGATGCTCTAAAGTCTAATCAAAAGACTTTGCACTCTGCAGTTTTGTGAATGTGAATTCCAATCTTCATTCCCCAGTCTTCCTTTGATGGTAATGGAGAGAGATTTCATGTTTGGAGTGGCAAGTTTACTTAGTTCAACCTGCGTGTGTGTGGGGGGAGAAAAAAACAGCAGAGGCTGGAAAGAAATCCTTGAACTTTGTTTCATAGAGTACCCCAGATGTGGAAGAAGACAAAATCCTCGTGGTAGATAGTGCAGCAGGGTTAAAGTATTGTCCCATCAGAAGCACTTTTTTTTGTATTATTATTATTTTTCTTAATGCTATCTTGATTTTTGGAAGAGGAGCGAGTGAAGACTGTCTTGCCAAAAACAAGCTGGGTGTTTACTTAATGGTATTGAGGTGCACAGCTTGCGTTAATGATAAATAGTGTTTTAAAGTCCTGGCACAGCTTTGGAACTAAACAGACAACTCCTGTACGTCTAAGCCTGAGGTGGAGAATTCTTCCTTGCAGAGGAGGCTGTCTGTGTGTCTTTGAGAAGATTATCAGATAATTCAGTGACGTGTGGCTAGTGTCCTGTAATAGGAAATAGTCATATGCCATGTGTTGCCTCTGTGTTTTAATTCTCCACCTCCGGCCTAAGTGGAAACCCCAAACTTTCCTCCTGCCTTAGATTTCGGGGTCTGTGTTTTAAATGGGGCTGTACTGTGGCCCCTGAGCTGGTGGTTTTCTGTAAATTTACAAGTAGCCATTTTATAACTTTGGCAACTACAGTGAATTTGTTCTACAGGTGAATATCCAGAATGTGCTGGTAAATGGAGGCCTAATAGAATCTATATGTAATATTTCTTTGTGCTTCCCTAGAGGCTGTTATTTCTAGATTTACTAGGCGTTTCTGCTGAATAACTCATTTTAGTAATGTGCCTTTGGATGCTGTGGCACAATTTCCATGCCCCTGCATAGTGTGGGGTGCCTCCTACATGAGCCTATCAGGACATCCTTTAGTTTATTAATTGCAGAAGGTTTTTGTGGATGTCATTAAAGAAGTTACTTTAAAAATTACTATTAAAGTTGAGGTTTCATTGAATAAACCTCACTGAGATTCTATTAACACTGACTTAGTTAAGGGAAAGTGACTCTCATTTAGCCCTGTTCGATTCTTCCTTCCCTTTCCCCATAATTATAAAATATATTTTATCAGATTTTTTCACCAGATCTGCCTTTTTTATTACATTTGCTAAATTTTTGTAGCACTCTATAAAATGCATAAAATACTGCTATTTTTCCTGGATAAGGTTGAATAAATATATATACAGACAATTTATGTTTTAGGTTGTCAGATTGTCCCCTGTCCAAAAAAAAAAAAACCCAAACCAGAGATTGAAACAAACCCATAGTTGACATGTTGTGTGTAATATAATTGTGAAATGGTGTTGCTTATAGCCTGTAAATGAAGGGGAACTGTAAATACAATTTCCCTGTGCACAAGCATTTGCACTGTAGTTTTGTATGCATTTTTAGTAGAGCAATTGTAGCACAACGGTTTATGTGCAGTCCGTCTGTTAGCTCTCTAGGAAGTTTACCTGCTTTTACTGTTTCTTTTTGTATTCTGAGTAGTCTTCGTCTTAATCGTATGTGACTCCATTCTGGGTTTTCATAGTGCAGTAAATGTGCAAAAAGAAACAAACTTCAAATTGCTTTAATCACCAGTGTGTAAGCTGACAAATCTGTGTATAGAATTTACAGTATAATTGGCTTGAGGCATGCAAAAATGTTATGCAATTTAAAAACTTTATTTAGTGTTTCTGTATCAATAAATTCAGTAAAGACTTTTTAGCCTTCTTAACATGGCTTTGCATCATGTCGTGATTAGAATACTTTGTAGGTAAGTACTTTTTACATAATTGAGGGTTAAGATACTGGAAAAAAAAGCATTTAATAATATGATGCAGGTGCATAGTTGTAGATGCATTCCCCAGAATATAATCCCTTAAGAAAAAAAAACCCAAAACCCACAAACGTGCTTAGGTCATGATTGCCAAACCTTTATGTAATGGAATTGTGCAAGATGTGTTCTGGAATTAGCACACAGAGCCCTCGTCTAGGTTTAATGTTTCAGAAAACGTAGGATTCACTTGGCTGTCAGACAGCAGCGATATTGAGAGGTCACTTTGTCCCTTTCTCCTCTTCGGGTCCAGGATCACCAAAGGTGACAGGAGTTTAATCGGTTCAGAATTACCACTATTTCTGCAACGCTCCTCAGGTCTCCAGTGGTTCTTTGCAGTGTTCAATTAATGCACATTTTAAGAACTGATATTCAGTGCTTCCATTTCTCTACTGAAAATAACTTCATTTTGGCTTCAGCTGTAATAGAAACATAATCATGATAATAAATAGAGCTATTGGTAATTAAGTACATCTGTTAACCTTTCATCTACAGGACAATTATCTGTGGACTATATTTTTTCCTGTCATCTGCCTGTATGATAGGTGTCTCTTTGCCAACTATTAAATAAGATTAGTATAATATTTGTGCTTTCTGTCTTCATACAGTGCTTGATAGAAAAAAAAATCCTCTCCTGCTTTGGAAAGCCATGAATATGTTATACCAATGCTATCAAGTAAACAAAATGTGCAAGACAGGTGATGTTTAGTTCCTTTCAAAGCTCTTTATTGCTGAGGATTTTATAATGTGCATAACTTAAATGGAATCCACATCTGTTTAACTTAAAGGGGGATGAGGGAACTGAAAAAGGGTTGGAGGGAATGGATCACTCCAAGGTTTTGGAGTTGTTCTTTTGCTAAGAAAAGCTATAAAGTAAAATGTAGAATGTCACAGGTCTGGGGGTTGATGATGAACCCTTCAGGGGTTCAGGTACTCTGCGAAATCCTTCTACTGGGGCAGAAGTGCTCTTCAAAAATAAAACAAAGGAGGGTAAGAGGAGGAGTAAACCTTCAAATTCTACCAGTGTCCAAAAGCCTTCTGGAAGAGGCTGGGAATGTTTAAGCAAAGGATGAAGCATTCACTTCAATTCCTGTCACTTAGCAGCTAAGTGAGCAGCCACTTCTCGCCTTTGTTTAGAGTTGCATGCTTATTTTTAAGCAATCCATCATGGTGATGGAAAATAAGGTAGATTAATGCAGGTGAAAAGGAACGGTGATGGCTCGTGCTTCATGACATGCCACAAACATCCGATCTGTGAAGTAGAGGACATAAGCAAGATGGAAAAGGTGCATTTCAACTAAACACTGTAAGTAAATACCTCAGTTGCACAAGTTGGAGGGGCAGGTACACAAATTATTCCCTGAGATGTGGCTGCTGTTAAATTTGCTGACTTTGCTAATGATCCAAATCCCAGAAAATAATAAGTAGATATCCATCAATCTTGCCAGAATCTATCACTAACTGCACCACTAGGCCCTAAATTGAGGTTCCAGAGGAAGTATAAGTAGAAACATGATGGATATCTAGTCCAGCTCTGCTGTTGACAAAATAACCCCCTTTGGAGGAAATATTTTTGCTGCTGGCTGGCTTGGAGCTTGGGTTTTTGCGCTGCTGTACATGGGGGCCCAGCAAAGGAGCCCTGTGTTTGGAGCTGGCTGGATGTGCCATGGAGAACACCAACATTTCCAAAATGTAAAGCCAGGTTTGAAGAGGATGCTGATGGTTTGTTTTCTTAGCATTTTTTTTTCCATATAGAGGTGCTTTGCAGAAATTACGCTCCCCTGTCTTAATGGAGTTCATTGTCCTTTGGAAAGGCTTGATACGGGGAATGGTTAGACTGGAAAAAATTATAACATCAAAGTATGTGTGACTTAAAGAAAGAGGCAACGAGGATTTTGTATTTTTATGCACATACGTCCCAGTTTTGCACTCTGGTTTCTACGTGGAGGAATCTGCTCAGAGTTGCTGTTTTTTATACAAATACTGAAGCAGATACTTCAGCTTTGTGCCATTTGCACGCAGGAAGTGGGACGGTGGCCACTAGAGGACACTGTCCCCACGACGAAGAGTTGGGCCTGGACAGGGAGGATGGAGCTGCTCCAACAAACCTGCCTTGGCACCGCTTGGAGAGCTGGGCAAAGGGACAAAAGATTGCTTGAGGGTAAGACACAGCGAGCTGGCTCTGTAATGTAGCCTTTTTCTGGCTAGAAAAACAATGTTTTACTATCTGTGATGTGACTGCTGCTCAAGAACTGGTAAGTGATTGGGTTCAAGACACCAGCTACTGCATAATGGTTGTTTGCCCAACATCTTACATGTCCCCACAACCAAAACACCTGGCAGAAATCTGGGTGGGGATGAGGAGAGGGATAAATCTTAATATATTCTGGAATCTATTATCCAAACCTTGATTCATAAGGGTATTAAAAACTGGGAAATTGGTAAAAGCAGCTGCTTAACAGGCAAAAAAGTCCCACCCTTCTCCTCCCAGTACTCAAATAACAAACTGAGGGGAAAGAGAACAAGAGATGCAAGAAAATATAGGATGAAAGT